ACCAGAAAGTGCTTTGTTAAAATCTCACAGTTTACCAATTTAAAATGTCTCTATCATTGAAATGGTGAAGCATAACTCAGTATTTCATATTGTAATTTTTAAGTTTCATTTCGGTTCCTCAAAAATTTAACACAAAATTCAAACTTAACTCTACAGTAGAGTATACCATTTCATTCCCACCATGTCAAAACGCATTACATACTTTCACTCACTGGGAACGAATATTGCAGTTCGTGGCAGTCCAGCTAAAGTTTCAAATACTTCGATATTCAGACACTTTCTCAAAGCCCAATATAGAATTGCCGTGTCTAAAACGTACTGATTGCAGCGGTTGCTACAACTAATAACATTTGATGCCGCAATGATGAGCTCCCCAAGCTAAAGAACTAGATCGGTGAATTAATCTTTGCACTATAGCAACCTATGAGAGAAACCTCATTTCCCTGCACACACTCTTAAATGAGACTAAGACGAATCCCATTAGAGCCAATCCTAAGTTCAGTGGATTATTTACCACTTAACCTGCGGGGTAGTTGTAAAAATATCAATATTGGGGACCACATATTGTTGAAGAAGAAAAGTGATCTCACTTTTCTTCTTCAACATAATAAAGGTGTCTTCAAGACATAATAAAGGTGTCTTTGAAGTATTTTCAACACTTAAAAAATGAGAAAAAAGTGCAATCTGAAGACTTTAAATTATGATTTAATTTCTCAAAAATTAACATAAAAATTTTAAAATATTTAAAACTGATAACTTATACGTTAACAAACTATTTTAAAAAATGAAAACCATGAATTTTTAAAGAATTTCAATCTAATCTTAGTATGCTAATCCTAGATGAAAGCATGAAACAGTTTTAAATAATCTGTTGCGACAGAATTGATTTAATGGAAATTAAAACACAGTGTATAAAACCGCGTATTTAAAATGAGTTGTTCAAAATAGCAATGTGAAATAGTAAGAAAAACAACTTGCTATGATGTTATTTTACCTTATATTATCACTATGGGGAGATATATGCGTTAATTTAATAAAGTAAAGACGTAGCTAAGCTATTATTTCAGTGGATGGCTTGTTCACGAAGCTTGGAACAAATATTTTCCTCATGGGGCAATGCTTTCAAGTTTGACAGGACTTAAATCCGGGAACTGAAAACAATATATGTCTCTTTTTAGGTGTTTAATGCGAAACAGCAATATTCCTTATTCATCAAAGAATTATACTGCCGCTTGAGTAGTTTCATTGGGAATTAGAATTAAATATAGTAGCTGAAGTTTACCACGTGTTTCAAAACAAATAATAGATTTATTTTATTAAGTTCTTACTATTTACCGTAATGTTAATCAGGTTACATTACAATTGCACTAAAATTATCTCAACAGCATCTTTTCCGAAGTTCATTAGTTACTGTTAGTCACATTCGGCCATTAAGGGAAAACTCGGCTGCCAGATAATCTTTCTTCATAGTTCAATAAGAATGTCTGTAATGAATTATTTTTATTATTTATATATTCCGGATTACATAAAATTAAATTACGTGCTATAGTCGATTAAAAAATACTATGACATCACCAGCTACATATGCCTACTATTAATTCTACGTCCTTTTTTCTTCTTTTGTATTATCTGGAGAAAAGTTTCTTTTATGCTGACGGTTTATTACCGTTAACGTTTATATTATCCCTCAAAGAACAAATTTATCGTTTTGTAAACTATCACCACTTAATCCGTTACCCACTAATTGAGAGTTCATTTTTAAAGGAGTTGCTCATACAAACCGTTTAGTGCTACCATAAAAAAGATCAATAAATTCGTTTTTTTTACATGAATATTGGTTCGCGAAAGCGATTTTTCCCTCCTTCTGCGATAAAGATATGTAACATTCTAAGACTAAGTCCAGTTGATTAGAAGTTCAAGGCATTTCTATTTTATGTTACAGAAAAGAACAGTAAAAAATAATATTGTTACGAAATGTCCAGCCGCGGTAAGATACATTCCACGCAAGGCGGGTTTACCAACGGCAAAGAGATGTACTGTTGTCAGATATGGCCCGAAATCGCTCATTTGGTGATAAAATTGGCGATATGCCATAGACGGATGGAGAAACTTCTAGAATAAATTCTTACAGGTTTGGCCCAGAATGTTCTCGAAAACAGGCCAAAAGCTGTTATAACCCTACCTGTACGAGGAGTAGCTGTCTATCAAGTTGATCGTCAGTCTAGTGTCGAGTTGGTCGTTGAGTGTACTGAATGTATCGTGGGTTAGTGCATCGTCGAGTCTATTGTCAGTCTATCGTCGAGAGCATCATGAATTGTAAATTGGAGCGTCCCGAGAGTACGTAGAGTTCCGAGAACGACCGAGACGAGTCGAGAGCTGCACTATGGTACTTTGCCGTGAAGCTGTTTTCAACCGTTATAGCCTGAAGGTTGTGTTCCTGATTGTTTCAGTGTATTTGCCGTAGTTTTTCGGCGACTGTAAACTTGTTTTTAGAGCTGTCCTGAAAAATGCTGGCTAATAAATTCTGTTTTCATTCTTCATCAAGTGTTATTGTCAGTCACTGCAAATCCACAAACTCGTGCAGAACGCAGCAATATTCTTCATAAACGGACGAAATCATCTCAAGTAAATTCAATTTGCCATAAGTGTTTAAGTGCATAACTGCGCATAAATTACTATATAACTCTGTTTTTACATAATTTGTACAACAGCGAATGTGAAAAAACAGGAAAACTTTTAAATTCCAAAATACTCTGATCTAAAGTTAAGTAAAGAATTAATTAAAAAAGTTAAATAATAAAAAATAAAACAAAGGAAAATAAATTAAACTATGATATTTTTAAAATTAATCATGTAGTTTTTGCAAGTGATTTATTAGGAATATTTGTTTATTGCTATAGTACCTTCCTCCAAGTTATAGGTAAGGGAGAGAATGCTTTCGGTAAACAAATTCGATAATGAGTTTTCAGTGAAGAACGAGTTAACTCTTTGTATTTTTACAATAGAGTCGGTCTGTGTGTGTATTTGTATATATGTGCATGATTTTTTCGTCCAAATTCCAAAAATTTCTATTTTTCGTTATTTTACGTTTTCCGTTATTTCGGTATTTTATGTTTCCTACACTCATATAAATATTTATTAGATTGTTCTTTACTTGAACCCCATAACAGTTTTTAACACAAAAAACTATATTAAAATGTAATCCAAAACTTTTCAATTTTAGTATTAAAGACTTTTATATCAATGAGAACAAACGTATTCAATTTTGGATAAAATTGGTAAAACGGAAGTGATACTTTAGTTCAATCTCTGAAAAAACTTTCGTAAAAAAATACATTATAAGACTTCATTCAGATAAAACTTCATAAATGTGTTATATAAAATAGGTATGAGATTGAAAACAATGCATCACATTTATAAGCATTAAATGTGTTTTTTGAAATAAGTTAAATGCAGTGAAAATAAGCTCATTATGAAGACAAGGTCTCGTTATAAGGCAGTTAAATGCAACAGTTTCAATCTTCAATTTTGCTTTCGTCTCATTTTTTTTTGTCGCATCACTTTATCGCTATGTATTATTTTTTAAAAAAATGATGTAGCACATATAAATAATGTTGCGAATATAAAAAAAGGTCTGGCAACAGTGAACAGAGAACTGGGAATTCTAAAGATATATTGATTTTAAAGATTTTGTGATCCTGCTGTTGAATTTTTCGTGGCGTAAATGCGAAGAAAGCTAAGTTTGTTAAATGAAGTTAAAATGTTAAAATAAAAAGCTGATAATCTTATGAAGAAATCTGAATACTGACATCAAAAACCGAGAAAAGACTGAAAAGGAGATGTGTGGCAACATTTAATACTCTATTGGATATTCTAAACATATGCCACTTTAAAAAAAAATTTAATTGCTAAGTCATTGATTTGAGAATCCGAAGCGCTATATGACTAAAGGATTGATTGGACTACCATTGATGCGATACTTTCAAGTCAAAGCATAAAAATAGATGTGTACATGAGAGCATATAGTTATCATTATCAGTTATTGGAGAAAAGAATAATAGAAAATGAGTAGCGTTGATAATTAGCAGTGAGCCATAAATTTTAAAAACAAATTAGATTTTATTTACAAACGATGGAAGGGAAATGCTAGTTGACTTAAAGCTCGCTGCTTAAGTAAACCAAGAAAACATGTGCTGGTCACATCAGGCTTTTTAGTTTAAGTTTTTTGCAACTTTTTGTGCTAGAAAGAAAGAGAGAAAAAGAAAGCAAATTGCAAAAGTTTATCCATTACTTCTGCAGTTGATTTATTATAAAGTCATTTTTCTTTACATTTTATTTTTAAATGCTGCCAATTTCTCTTATCATTTTGGTGCTATACAGAGAGAAAAAAAAGCGCTAAATAAGAATTTTTATTTAACACCAATGATTCTGTAAATGTTTAGCCTAATAATCTTATTTTTATTTATATGTTTGTACATCAAAGCTGTGCGACCTGAGAAATCGCAAATATTGCTTGCGGCAAATTCTCATGCCATCCACATAAAATAAAACAGTAGTTAGGAAAATTTAAAAGCGTCATTACGTCACCCTCATAATAATTAATGACCCTTCCGCTAGTTTCATGACTCACCCAACCGTGGACCAGCATCCACTGTGTTTTGACTATGTATTGCCGCTCGTATATTGTTCCACGGGAAATTATTCTTTTTTTTTTTTTTTTTTTTTTTTTCTCTTTTTCATATGATTCTTTTCCTTTTAGACTCAAAACTACCGCAAGTTGGAGAGTGAGAAAATTATACCATTGTCTGGATGGAGAACCGTATCTGATGATTTTATTTCCAAGCCAAGGGATTGGGCAGAATTTTTACTGGAATGAGATATTATTTTCCTTGTAATGTGTCGCTGCGTCCAAGATACCACTGTCCACATGGATGAAGGGTTCAGTTCTTCTTGGACATCATGCTCGCAATACAGGTGAGGAATGTGTCTCTTTTCTTGAAGGAATTTCATTTCAGTGCGGTTTCTTTAAACAGCTTTGATGAATTCGCTTGATTTTACCATAACAACGGGAATACGCTGGATGTGGATAATGCGAAGATATATTTTGAAAACAAGGCTCCTCTGCTGAAGGGGATACGTTTCTGACTACATATGTAGTGAAGCACAGTAAGAGATAAGCACAAAATATGAACTATTTCTTAAGAAGTATTCACATTCTTCTGTATTTTTAAGATATATACTCAAAATTTTTGCTTTATCTGGAAACATTCATCAAATGGGGAAATGTTTTTAAATTAATGAAATTGACAAATATTCCGAAATTTAATACTATTAATTACATTTCGTGTTATTTAATTACTATTAATTATATTTCGTGTAATTTAAGTACTGTTAATTAATTTCGTTAGTTAAATAAATAAATACAGTTTTATAAAAAATTTAAATATCTATTTTTTCATTTATATACATATATATATACATATATGAAACATTTTATTGTCTAGCAGAATTCAGTTAGTATGTGATCTTCTGTCAAAACGCTTTTAGAATATTTATTTTAAAAATTATATATTATTTACAAATATGTATATAAAGCCTTAGATAATTTATTTTTGAGTAACTAGGAAAATAGTTTGGTGAAAATGAAATGATTTACGAGATAAAATGGAAATGAGTACCTTAAACTAGAATTTGTAATCCGATGACTCAAAATACACCATTTTCATTGTTAAAGAAATAGTGTATGTATCCTACATAATATTTTGAGATCTTTTTCTGTGTTAAAGGGATTTGCTGTTGATAATAAGCGTAAGCAAAAGGAACACATTTGATGAAATCAAATTGCATGTAATACACAGAAAACTTTAGTCAGTCATAAATATTTAAATTAGAGCTAGAACATGGAATTTATTTCGTGATAAAACTTCCTTTTATTTTAACTATTGTTCAGTTTATTTTTAGAATATCTCAAACTTGTTTTATTAATGAACAAGAAAACAATAGTTTGATCTAAAACAAAAGCAATAATTTGATCATGAATTTGTGCATTTAATATTATGCATTAGATAAATTTTCTCATCGGAAAAGAAGGCCTACCAGCGGCCGAGCGGTAACGTCACTGAACACTGGTAGTTCGGTTTGAATCCCGCGAACGGGCTGGCTGCATGGGCATTTTCGTGGTTTTCCCCATGTGTAACGTGTATACGAGCGAGTTTCCCTTAGAAAGTTCTCCACGAAGGCATCCCTCCCTTAAGGCAGATAGCCCTGGAGTGCTTTGCCATAATCTAATAAAACCAAAACCAAACAAACTCATCAGAAAAGAAAAAGAAACTTTCTGATATAGCTAATATGATATTTTTATTCGTTTTTCAAATGCGACTTCAAAAATGCCTAAAATTCCTCATCTAAAAATGAAAACGATAGGCAAAATACTGATATAAAAGGAAGAGCCTTAAAGTATGAAGCAATAGACTTATTTTAGTTGTTTTTACTTTAAATATTTGTAAGAATGACTGGAAAATATTTAAACACTTTATTTTTGGTTCTAACCTAGGATTTTTTACAGCTTATGAAAATTAAATAATGTAAGAGGATTTTAATTTGACTTCTAGTTTTCTTACTGGTTCTACTGATCGTAACATTTAATCATTATTTTGATAAGTTTGATTCAAAACTAATGATTTGTTTTCTCGCATGTAACAGACGTAAATGCTGTGAGAAAAAATACCCTGCACACACAACGCAAGTAAATACTATAAACTAAAAAAGTTACACTTCTCACAGTCTAAAAAAGTTACACTTCTGATATGCTAAAATTCTACCTATCTCAGAACGTTGATTTATTGATAATTACAAATATTGTAAACTTTTACTTACTTTCCTAGCAGTTACCATTTTAATTTATAGATTTTTCTGTCTTAGGTACCGTTATTTGAAACAGAACTATTGTATAAACAATGCTGTATTTTAAAAAAAAAAATGATAGATTTTTGATTTGATTGAAAATTTTATTGCAAATAGAGTTGTTCTTGTTCTGAGCAAAATCTGAGTTCTATTCCATAACTGAATACAGTATAGTTTGGGTTTTAAAATGATTTATTCCCTTCCAACAAAATACATAGAAACAGAAATTGAAATATAAATTAGAGCGAATGTTAAAATAGATAGACTTCTGATCTTGGAAGGGATTTGTATTTACATGTTATTCAGGACTTAGAAGAGAAGGTCTAGCTCATAAAGCTTTTCCCCCTGAAGCAGAAAGTGAGAAGTGATGACGTTGTTATGATAACACTGAGCGCGGAGATGCAATTCACAGCTTAGAAATTAGCGTTTTTGAACTAGCGTTTAAAATGAGCTGTGTGTGAAAGATAGCTATGATTTGGAAGAGACAATTGTTATTTTACGTTGAACCATTAAAAAATTTAATAATGCTTACTCAATTTTAAAATAATAGATAAAATGCGTTACTCTTTTAACATAAAGTTCCATGGTATTTTTTTATTGTTATTTGCAGGTTTTTTTATTTAATGCACGTTTATTTATAATCATTTCTTTATCTGCATGCTAACTGAGAGAATTTTTATACTGCTTCTAAGATAACTATAATAGCAGGTATTTAAATTTACTCAAAAACTACTATACATTGACATAGTTTTAAACATATATGACATATATGACAAAATTTCTGCTAATCTACGTTTGATTTTTTTGCCTAATTGTAAATTTTACATTAGCATATTTCTCTTCCGATTCAATATAATAACAGATATTTTAAAAATAATTTTGTAATTTATACTTACATCTATATTACAATTAAATAAATGTAAGATTGTTACCTTAATTTTGACAAAATAGCTTTACTCACAGTACCTAAGACAGTTATTAAATTTTTCAAAACTGTGAGTAAAGGAGGCAGGTCATTTTATGCCAATTACTTTGATGTTTTATACTATTATATTTTATCTAGAATGCTAATCTAGCGCAAAATCGAATCAATAATTAGTTACAAAGGATACAATAAAAATAACTTTAGCAAGTACTTAACAAAATTATTTTGTTAAGCACTTGTTATTCTTGTTGGTACTACTATTTTGGTACTATTCGTAATACCGAAGGTATTATCGATTAACTCATAGAAGTCAGATGCTTTTTGATTTCCTGTGAGGTTGAGTATACCTTTTGCGGTAGTTCTTGAAAATAATGTTTTCGCTGGAGCGACTTTTTGGTCTCTCGTTTCCCTTGATCATTAAATTATTCGGTTTTAGTTTGCGATACAATTTGAATTCTTCCGAACCTCTATTTAAAACCTCTTTAATAATATCAAAATCTAAAACAGTTCCATCTTCTAAAACAAATACTTTATCTAAAACGTGGTTTCTCTATACTTTGAGGCAGAGCGCGAAAGGAGACCTTTGATTAAAACAAACTGCACATTTTGAAAAGAACGGAGAACTTGGCCCACTCTAGAGTCATAGCAAAGTTTTCAATCTATATACATTTCGTCGAAACTGAGAACGCAGTTTAATTTTTCTACAGAATTCAAATATTCGCCTTTTTCCTTCTTTAGAGTAAGAACATCACTTTGAATTCTTGGACTACACTAAAATTTAGCGCATCATTTTTTTAATTTGCTACTACTAGGTAAAGGAATTCCAATTTTTTCTTTCCAAAAATCATAGCTAAAAGATGACAATAAAAAGCTAAAAGATGACTCTTATGAAAATGCAATGTGAAATAGTTTCACTAGTCCATCTGATTTTTTTTCTTCTTTTTCAGCAATGCATTAATCTGCGTCTTTATAAAAATAGGCTTTAGAAGTTTTACAAATTCTCCGATTTGGGCTTACCCCCCCCCCCCCCGAAATTTCGCTATTTGAGATTTTAATTTCTAATACCAATTTCTTTATAGATGTCGTCCACCTTCTCTGCCGCTGAACAAACATTCTAAAATTTTTCTTTTCTCTATTTTTCAATAGTTTAATATTTAATATTTCAATAGTTAATAATTTCCAAGGATATTATTTTGTTCTTCAAATTATCAATGCATTCTTGTTTATCCTTAGGGCATTCAGGAATATCTGCATTTTCATTTGTGAGTTTAGTTTCAAAATCATTAACATTTGATTTATTATTGTCATCATCAATTTCGATTTATTATCGATTTATATTTATTTCGATTTATCATAATTTACTTTCGAAACAGCATTCCATTTCAACAGTTTCTTTTTGTGGCTATCTAAATAAGCGATTTTTCATTATCATCTTCATAAACACTGCATAGAAAATGTTCGCTCCAAACTTTTCCGTTCTTCACATTAATAGAATCTTGTCTTTGACATTTGTGTGTCCATTCTTTCGTGAAAAGCAAATTCTCATTTGGGTCCTTTGGTCCCTTGAAATAAAATATCTCATCCTTTCGTACTTCTGTAAGGGCTACGGCACTTTATTACAGCGCAAAAAGCCATATTACATAAACGATACTTTACAACATAGAATTTAAAATAAAAATTGAAATTATGTATATCTAAATTATTTTAAATATTTAAATTATTAGAAAACAAATATATATGATTATAATTAATTTGGGAAATGTAACCTCTAGAAAATCGTCTCGCAGGTGAATGAAATTGCAGTTTTAAACGCGGGAAACCAGAAAAGATGGCATCACAGTGACGTCAGATCACTGCCGGTTAAGTTCCCTCCCCCCTTAGGGTCGCGTCGGCGAGGAGTCGAACAAAGGAATGAACTAACTCTTTCTACTTATCGCAGCATGTTATTAATTGCTCTATCTGTCAATAGTTTGAAAATTTGCAACTTCTTTTCTGTTTGGAGCAGAATTGATTATCAATAAAGTTTCATTTCTCATTTATATCTGAGTTTGTGATTCTGTTAAACTGTTGGTTATAGTTCTGTAAAACTCCTTTGAGACAACATGAAATGAGATTAACTAAACAGTTGTTAATAGTTACGAAGCAGGCAGAGTCAACACAGCTGCTGAAAAAGAAGGCCTTTAGATACGGAAAGATCTTTGCGATTTAATAAACATTATAGAAGCCGAAGATACTATTTGTTTAAATTTTGAAAGCTCCTTGCTGAAACAAAATGGAGATAATCTTTAAAAAATCAGTTACTAGAAAGAAATATCATATTTATTTTACTCCATTGAGAAAATGTAATCTTGTGAAAATTTTGTCTCAACATATGCAA